TGTTTCGCAGATACCGTACCAAACGTTCGCAACGGGGGTTCTCTTCCTTCTTTCCTCAAGGTCTAACCTTTCCGTGAAATCGTATAATGCGTCAAACGCGCGATGTTTTTCGAACTCGCCACGTTTCGAATTCGTCCGCAACGAAGATATCGAGTCGCGCGATTCAGCGACCAATTTATCTCGCCCGAATTTATAATTAACGACGCGGGATTTCAAATTTCCCGCGCGACTCGCGATACCAGGCAGCGGATCTGAATAAAATTTCAAATATTTGCGAACGCAAATCACTCGTTATCGCTATAAATATCATAATAATTACATAAATGCCTGAACATTACTATAAATACTACAAACGTCATAACAAGTGCCCTACTTTTAATTAATTACATTCGCGCGCATTTTTAAATTTCTCACAAATGGGTCCCTCGAGGTCCCTGTCCCGATTGTTGCAGGAACAACTTGTCAAGAACGTGGACCGATCGGTTCCAATTCCGTGCGTTTTCGAGCAGGAAACGATCAAAGTTGCCACTAGCTGCGATACTACTTCAATACATGGTACACACACGCGTGCCAAGTATCGTAAATACAAGCACACGATTAGAACGACGCACGCGTTTATAATCCGATCGCACCGCGTTGACCAATATGTACCAGCCGCGTCAAGCTGAAACAAGGATTAGGACTTCACGGTTTACACAGATGGCGAACATACGTCCGTGGGTCTTTGTGACGCATCGGCCGGTCATACCGAGCACACAACCGAGGACCATTTTCAACAGTTTATAATAAATACAATAAATGTTGAACAACGATGAGAGCCAGACTATTTTGTCACTTTCCTCGACCTTGGAAATACCATTCGTTCGGGCGAGTACATATCAACACAACGTGTTTGGTATTAAAAGAGAAAGCAGATTTCTGCAGGACCAGAAGATTTTGGCTTGCACATGCTTGACAGAATCTTGGTCTTTGGCCGTGCAGAGGATCCGCGATCCGTGGCTAATCCAGCATCTGAAAATTCAAGAATAGAGAACAGAGAATCTTTCCAAAGCAAAGATAATAGAGAGAAAGAAAGAGAGAAAGATAATATGGTTGAACGTTTAAAGGAGTGGTAGGTAGGTGGTAGACGGAGATAAGTAGATTGATAGTTAGATAGGTGGGTATGTAGGTAGGTAGGTAGGTAGGTAGGTAGGTAGGTAGCTAGGTAGGTAGGTAGGTAGATCCCTGGCGAAATACTGAAGAGAGTCTGTGATTGGTAGAGCAAAGATCTCGTAGTCTGGCGTTTTTCTTTCGCATGCGGGGCAGAGGCGACAGCGTCGACGCGACGTTACGATCTTTCCACCGCGGGTGGTTGACTCGGAATCGAGTCTGAAACGTTCGCGCGGCAACGAAAGATTGAGCGAGCGAGCGAGAGAGAGAGAGAGAGAGAGAGACCGGTGAGATGAGGTAAGGTATAGAAAAGAAGAAGAAGAAGAAGAAGAAGAAGATGAAAGAGGAGAGGAGAGGAGCGGAGAGGGAGGGAAGAAAGATGGACGGCGCGACGCAACGCACAGAGAAACCGAGTCAAACTCTCGGCCGGCTGGCGCCGTTCTGTCGGCCCCCGCTGCCTCTTGCGGCCAACAAAGCGCGCCGTACACCTCCTCCCCGTTTGTTTCGCCTGCCATCGTCACCAACGTTAGCGCCAACACCACTACCAACCAAGTATGCAATACCAACACACCGCCACCAACACCATTACCATCGTCATTGATGATAACGCGCTGCTGGTGTGCGATACTCCTTATAGCGAGATGCTCGACCCCGTTGAATGGCAAACTGAATACCCTGTTCATCCGTGTCGTGTGATCCGATCGAGTTTCCAAGCGCGGCGGCCAGACGATGCTTACTCGACTTTCGGGCGCCTCCGTGCCTCCGTGTGTTGGTGCTACCGCGACCCTATACGTGTACGTACGATGCATCTCGAACGGAGCGAAATCGCGGTGCACAGGCTGAAAAAGAAACAACATCCTCGGACATACACGGTGGACGGTATACTAGCGATAGTATCCATAAAATCGATGCCATCGATACCAATGATGGTATATAAGTAGAGGTGGTGGTGGTGGTGTGGTGG